CTCATTCCCCTGTCCCGGGGGTGAAGGGAGGGGCCGTGGGGCTGCTGCTCCCTGTCCCAGGAATGGGGTGAAGGGGAGGTGGACACAGACAATGTCCCCGCTTGCGCTGTGAGGGGCAGACCAGGCTCCATCCTGGGCTTCAGAGCCTGAGCTCCAGCCTGAGCCTGAACGTCTATGCGGCTATTTTTAATTCCAAAGAGGGAGCCCCACAAGCCTGAATCTGTCCACCCCGTTCCAAGACTCGCTTCTGCAGGCTGTGTAGAATAGGGTGACCAGACAGCAAGTGTGAAAAATCGGGGCGGGGGTGGGGGGTAATAGGAGCCTATACAAGAAAAAGACCCAAATATCGGGACTGTCCCTATAAAATCGGGACATCTGATCACCCTAGTGTAGAAGGACCCAAAGTGTCTCCAGAGTCTGGGTGTGAAAGTTGCCAGCATGTCTGACCCAGGGCTGGTAAATGAGAGCGAGGGAGTAGCTGGCACAGTCATTAGATGGAGACACCTGAGCCCCGGGCTCTGAGATGGTCTCTGTGACCATTATCTGCTCTGGGAGACGCCCAGGTGCAGCTGCAGAGGGTCTGTGCCACTCACAGCATCCATGGCACAAATGGCTCTGGGCAGAGAGTTCGGGCTGAAGCCAAGTCTCAATTTTCAGCCTGATTTGTTGGGGTGAGATCACAGGCCCAGGGGGCATTTGTCTGCAAAGGGCAAATTAAACAGTAGCTCTGGAGTGTCCTGAGCCTGGCCTGCCTGTAACTGTGCGTTTCTGGGGATGTGGACAGTCACTCACTGCAAGTCACTGGGATTCGGGCTCCTAAGTTGCTCAGACAGGTTTGCAGTGGAGCTGGGTGAAATGTTTTGGACAAATAGTTTATTTGCTGCAAAATTATATTTCTGGTCAACAGAAACTATTCGCGAATACACGTCGAGTTTGCTGTCGAGTTTCAATTAAGAGAAAAAGGTGCCGCTGCTTCCCCTCTAGCCTTTAGCCCAGCGGCTGGGCCCTCAGCTGGGAGCCCCAGGTTCAATCCCCCCATGTGATGCCACGAGGGCTCAAAGCGCTGGGATCCGAGTGACATCCCCCTGAGTCTAAACACTGCCATGGGCACTGGGCCAGAGCGTGGGAGTGAGAATGACTCTGCAGCCCAGTGGGTCGGGCCCCCACCTGGGAGCCCAGAGTCCAGCTCCCCTGCTCCAGTGACCCTGTAATTATTGATCCATAACCCCAGTGATGGGAGGGGTTACGGCCCCTGGCACAGCAGTGTCTCAGGCCGTGTCTGCCGGGGTTTCCTTGCACCGATGTAGCTGCACCGGTGCAAACCCCTAGTGCAGACGCTCTGTGCGGGTGTGAACTGGGACTGGCCCCTGGTGCAGCTTATCCCAGATGGAGGGGGCACGAAGTGGGGAAATGCCCCCTCCCCACTGCCCTGGCCTCATTAGCAACAGCCTATTAGTGTGCATTTATACCCCCCCAGAATCTTCCACTTTACTGCCCCCCAAGTGAGCCCAACCCAGACTACTGCCCCCAGGGGGGGTGGGGCTGGGGCTGGGCCCGGCGAGGGGAGGGGCTGGCTGTGGGGTTTTCCTGGCTGGAAGGTGGTGCACATGGGGCCCGCCAGCATGGAGAGTCCCAGCTGCTCCCCCTGCGGCAGGGCTGCACCCCCAGTGTGTGTGGGAACAGCACTGACCTGCTCTGAGCGAGAAACCAACCACACATGGCCCAAAAGCAACAGAGATTCCCAGGGGCCTGCCTCTTCCTCACCCTTCTCTGGCTCTTGCCCCTCTCTTATCCTTCCCTCACCCCTGTGAGGGACCCTGCATCTATTCTGACCCCTCACCAACATCCCTCCCTCTCTTCTCACTCCCTTTCTGCTGCCCTGGGCCCCTGCCCCTCTACTCCCACTTTGCCTCCTTGGCACGTGCCCCTGCCCTCCACCCATCTCTGCCCCACTGGAACTCACCCCTCCCTTCTCCCCCTGCCCTACTGGCACCTTCCCCTCTCCCCCAAACATCCTCTGCATCCTGGAGCCCACCATCACTTCACACCCCTGCTATGTCCTGGCATCCACCTCTCCCCTTTCCCTCCTCTGTGCCATGTCTCCCACCCCTCCCCTCACCCCCATCTGCTTCCCTGGTGCCTACCACTGCCATCACCTCCACATACACCCACTGATGGCCACCCCACCCCTCACCCTCCTCTCCTGTCCTGGCTTTTGCCCTTCTTACACCCCTCAGCCCTCCTGGCACCTGCCCCTCTCCCCACCCTCTCTGACCCCTAGCACCCACCCCTTCTCTCACCCCCCTGTGCCCACCCGTCCTCTAGCCCCACTCTGACCCCCTGGCACCTGCCCTTCCCCTTACCCCCACACCCTTCTGCTGCCTACCCCTTTCTTCCCTCCCCCTACCCCCAACACCTGACACCCCGCTTGTCCCCTTCCTTCCTGTTGCCCACCCCCTCACCACCCTCTGCCCCACTGACCCCGCTCTCCTCTCGCCCCTCTGCCACCATCACCCATGCCACCTTCTCTTAATTTCTCACCCCTGCCCCTCCCCTCCCCCTCTGGCTCCGTGACAACTGCACCCCTCACCACCCCTCCAGTCCCCTGGTGACAGCTCCTCCTCTGCCCCAAGTCCCAGCTCTACCCTTCCCCCATCTGCCTCCTTGGTGCCTGCTGTTTCCTTTGCTCCCTCTGCCTGCCTGGTGCAACTCCCTTCCCTCACCCCCCTTTGGGACCCCTGGTCTCAGCCCTTCCCCTCACCTCAGCACTGCCCCACCCCTCACCTCTCCTTCTCCTAACCTCTGGGTCCCACCCCTCCCTTCATCTTCCCTCTGCCGCCCTGGTGCCCACATTTCCCTTCACACCCCTCTGCCCCCCTAGGTCCTGCCCTTCTCCACACCCCTCTCTCTGCCCCCCTTCTGCTCATCTGCTCCTTCAACCCCCATTCTGCCCCTTTGGCACCAGTGCCTGCCCATTTGCTCCCCCGCATGGTTCCACCTGCCCCACTCCTCATCATCTCACCCCCTGGCAGCTCACCTTCCCCTTGATTTCCCCTGCCCCATTGGAGCTCCCCATTCCCTCACACCCCTCTGCCCCCTGGTTCCTGCCCCTTCTCTTGCTTCCCTGTGCCCCCTGGGGTCCGTCCCCTTCTTCTGTCCTCGTGTCCACCCCTCCCCTCACCCCCTGCAGCCCCCTGGAACCTGCCCCTCCATTCACCCCACTCTGTCCTGCTGGGGCCCGTCCCTTCCCTTGTCCCCCCCATTGCCCTTGTGCCCGCCCCTCCCCTATGTCCCTCCCTCCACCCCCTCTGCTCCTGTCACCTCCCTCTCCCCTTTCCTCTCCCAGCATCTACTTGTCCCCTCCCCCGCCTCCAGTGACAGCTTCTCACCCTCCCCCGCTCCTCCTGCCCTTTCCCCTCATTGTCTCCTCACAGTTAGACGGGCCCTGACTCCCCTCAGGCAACAACCCCCCCCCCCCCCCCCCCCCGCGTTTAACGGGGGCGCGGGTTAATTTCCATTTGATCCCAGTGACCAGCCCCTGCCCCCGGCCCTGACTCTGTGACTCTCTCGCCAGTGGACGTGACTCTGGATCCAGACACGGCAAATCCCAAACTCGTCCTGTCTGAGGATCGGAAACGTCTGAGACTCGGAGACAAACGCCAGGATCTGCCCAACAACCCTGACAGATTTGATCGTTGTCCCTGTGTCCTGGGCGCTGAGGGGTTTGCGGGCGGGAGGCGTTACTGGGAGGTGGAGGTGGGAGACAAGACATGCTGGGCTCTGGGGGTTTGTAGGGAATCTGTGAGCAGGAAGGGGTGGGTGAGACTCACACCTGGGAATGGATACTGGGTTGTTTGGCTGAGGGGTGGGGGATACAAGGCTGGCACCTCCCCCAGGACCCCCCTCCCCGTGAGCGTCAGGCCCAGCCGGGTGGGGATTTTCCTGGACTATGAGGCGGGCGAGGTCTCATTTTACAATGTGACTGACAGGTCCCATCTCTTCACTTTCACTGACACCTTCTCCCGGACGCTCCGCCCTTATTTCTATCCTGGTCTCAACGCTGGGGGTACAAACGCGGCTCCCCTGATAATCTGCCCGGTCCCAGCTCAGGCCAGAGGGAATCTCTGTCCCTGACAGTGACCCCGCGGCACAGACTGTCCCCTCCCAGCGCTGCTGCTCTTCCCACCCCCAGTGGTTGGGGCCTGTTACTGCAGCAACTGGAGTTTTTGTGCTGACCGGACGCTGCCAGTTTCCCTGTTCAACTGGAGGTTCCAGTCGAAAAACAGACACCTGGGAACCCCCAGCCCTCACCTTCCCTGTCCCCTGCCCCAGGGGTAGCAGATGGGGGTGGATGGGGGACATTTACCCCTGTCAGAATTTTCTACCCCTGTGAAAGCTCAACGTAAAATATGAAAGAAAAAAGATTATTCTAATTTAGAAAATATTATT